GGGGGGGCAAATTTGGCTCCTTCTCTCCCACCTTGTTTTCTGTTGCCTTGCCTCACAGTGGAATCTGTATGTGCCCCCTTTCCCGCCTTTTCCCCCCGCTTGCTTTGCTGCCCCCTTTCCCTCAGGGTGAGGCCCAAATGTGTGCACTTTCCCTTGCTTTCCACCCTTTCCTCGCAGGAAAACAAGAGTGGTGAGGGGTGCCCAAATTTGGGCCCCCTTAACCCTACCTGTTTTCCACCTCCTACTTGTTTTCCACCCCCTTCTCTCACAGTGGGATCCACATCCAGTGCCACCTTGCCTCCACATCCTTCTCTCATGTTGCGGCTGCAGTTTTGGCCTCTCTCCTTCCATTCCCCTCTCCATCTTTGATGTTTTCCATCCCTCTTGTTTATGGTGGGACCAAACGTGGGCCTTTCCCCCAACGCTCCCTCCCTTCACTGTCGGGCCCAAATGTGGCCATGCCAGGCAAGGTGCTGTCTGCTTGGCAGGCGTGAAGGCTGCCGTGCAGGTAGGAGTCCAYTTACAGACCAAGATCCCCATGTCTCTCGCTTGGAGTTCAGCCCTTACCAAGGCAGAACCTGAAATCCGTGCAGCTCCACGAGCTGCGCACAGCCCCGGGTTGCTCTCCTTGGACCTGCGGACTGGCGAGATAAACCTTGGTGCTTTGGGTTGTACCATGTCCCGGGTGCGGTTGTCTCGGCCTGGTGCGGTTGTTGCCCGTCGGAGAGGAGCGTTACCGGATCACGCTCGGTGGATGTGACGCTTCTGGCGGCGCGCCTGGCTCCTCCGTGGCGCGCGCTGCTGCCAGCAATGGGAATTGGTGCGAGCTGTGGGGCTGGGGGTGTGCGGGGCTTCGGGTTGGGCAGAGGCTCTGCCCGCCTGCTCTGCCACCCGTGTGTGGGAATGCGAGCTCCTCTCGTGAAGAAATTGCCCTCTGAATGAGACGTCGTTCGTGAACGTGCTCCCCTGCGGCCTGCTGTGGTGCTGAGAAGTGTTTGGAAATGCCGGGGTGGGCTAGTCCAGGATAAGTTTTTCTCGTGTCCAAGGAGAAAAGGAATCAAAGACAACAAAGCAACTGCAAGGGAGGAAGTAAAGTGATGCAAGTGGCATCACCTGTGGCACCATGATACCCATCCATGTGGAGAATAGCTTTTTTTTTCAGATTTCATCTCATTCCCTGGAGGTTTGCAGGCCAGCTTGGCTAATGCACTTCAGTGCCCTGAAGATGTTTAGAGCTCCACTGAACAAAACCACCAACCAACCACCTAGTGAAAACTGTTTCTATTAAGTCTATCTTAAGTGTGGTGTGTTAAGGCTTTTGGTGAGGGCGTGTGTACTCAGAAGTGCTTTCTTARGGTGCCTGGAGCCGGGTTTATTTTTGTTTTTTTGAAATGGTATGAGGATAACTGCTAAGGGAAGAAATCGGTTATTCCTGGGACCATCAAAAAAAAAAAAAAAGGCAAAAGCTGAAGAGCYAAAGGTCACACCACTGGTGGGAGTAATGGAGATCAGCTAGTAAGATAATGTTATTTGAACAACTTGCCTTTACCTGTGGTTAACTACAGTTTGTGATTAATGATCTAAAAATAAATACTTCCTTCTACTGTCATCAAATGTTGTGACAGGAGGTAACCCAAAATGTCACAGCCGTTAAGTGTGGAACAGCCTCTCCAGCATCTTCATGAAAATGACCCAAYAGGCAAAGCCTGAGTGCTGGTCTGATGTATAAAGGAGGAGATAATGACAAATCTAGCCAAAGAAAAGGGAAAAATATGAAATGCTTCTAGAGTAACATGCCCAATTCTGCTATCCATCYGTGTGTTTATGTGTATATTATTAAAAAAGGAAACTGTTTAAAAAAAGAAAAAGTGTGGGGGGAAGAGTGCTGAGGAGAAGATCTGGTAAGGAATACTTGTTGCAGAAGATTGAAGAAGCTCAGTGCAGTTGAACTTAGTAAGTCAAAGCCCAGCAAGTCAAAGCCCAGCATCTCTCCCCTTCGATGCTGGATTTTGCTCTGTTCAGAGGCCTGACAGAGAAGGGGGTAACTTGCCAGCCGGCTGCAGGCAGCTCCTCTCAGGGCCCATTCAAAATGTGGATTGTCCCACCTGGTTCCTGTCGGCAAGAAGGATGGTAACAAAGCTGAGTTTTAAATGGGTAGCTGCCAGCCGTGTCGGGTATCTCCTGGGCTGCTGGACTGAATAGATGGGCTTTCAGTGGCCCATTTTGGGACCTTCTTGAGTCATAGGCTGCTGCATTTTCTGATGACTGAGATGTTCTACTGCACAGTGCCCAGCTCAACGGTTTCCTTTTTCGGTTTCCAGCCTTGCTTACTGAGCACCTGGGATCACACTGCTGCGTCTGCCATGGGCAAGGTGGAAAGAACAGTCAGTGAAGCAGAGGTCCCTCTTCAGCCCTGTGTAATACGGGTTATTCTTAGGTTTTGCTTCCTTAGATCCCTCCAGCATGTTGTTTTCGACGGGGCAGGGTATTGTTGGATAGCAATGTGTATGTTTATTGGAGCTACTCTGTTATGAAGGTATGAGGCTGCTGGCCCCCATAGTCAGGGACTGATGAGCTGGGGAGGCAGAAGTTCAGTCTGAAGTGGGTGGTGTGTCTGACTGTCCAGTATCCTGTCAGACGTAATGTGGCCCATAAATGAGAGCCTGTGGCGTGTGCCCATCTCTTAGGTGGGCAGGGATGGAGCAAGTGTGCATTAGTTTTTCCTACTAATAAGCCTCGTTCTGTTTGTGCTCGTTTCAGGGGAGCAGCTGTTTGTTTTCCATGCTACAAGCYTGCTCCAAGAAGAGGCAGGGAGTGGAAAAGCTCCTTTTATGAGCAGAGAGTGTCCTTGTGTTTGGCTGACMCTGCTGGTGAGGGAGCTCTGAGGGGGCACAACAGCTTTTTCTCTGTGCTGAGCTGCCTCAGCAAGGCACATTATTCCGAGCGAAATGCAGCTTGTACGGAGGTGGTGGCTGCTATTGGTCTGCCCTGTGGGTTGCATTTGACTCTGAAGGAATGACCATGCTTTTATGCAATGTATTTTCCCTTTGGAATAGGCAAGGGGGGAAAAAATAGTAGGAAAGTGTGACGAGCTCTTTAAACCGTAGAGGAATACAGTCCAGCGGGCAGTTTGCTTGCTGTTAGAAATCCTTTYCTACCCCTCTAGGTAGAAAGACCTTAAAGGATAATGCCCTTACGCTTCTGAATTTTCTTGCCAAACTAAGTAAGCTTTTAGAGAGCTGCTTTCTCCTTTCTGCTTGCTGCTCCCTGTTCGATGCTCATATAATGACCTCTGGCATGGTGCTGGTGCATGTTTTCTTTTTTAAAGACGTGTTTGTGTCCCACGCGGGAGCCAGATTCCTGCTCCAGAAGCTTCCCTGGCAGCCGTTTGCTCCTGTGAGGAATTTCTCTGGGCTGGCGATGCTCGGTCAGGCTGGCGCTTGCGAAATCGTTGGCCCCTGAACTCTTGCCTGCCCTTGACACGCAGGGGACTGCCTCGTGCGGTTGTCACAGCGTGTCACAGTTCTATTTTTCTGCCTGTCGTCGTCTCTGTGTGGATTCCAGCGTTGAATTTCATACGTTTTGATCTCGCCTTTCCCCTGCCTTGGGTCCTGTGTAACTTCTCTATAAGCTCTGATGCGAGTTGAGGTTTGTAGAGCACCCGCAGGTGTCTGTTTGAGCTGTGCTTCTCTAGCAGCAGAGAGACCACCCTTTTGGAGAAGGACTTGTCTGGTGTTAAGGCTCATAGACCAGCCCCTATTACTGAGCAATCTGTTCCTCTGTTTACATGAGTCCATAGAAAACCTAAAGGATTAATTTCCTTTGCAGGCTTCAACATGAGGTGGTTGCAGTGAGTGCTCCTGAGTGATGGTCAGTGTTTGACGGTCTGTGCCCAGTCCTGATAAGAATGAAGTTCAATGACTTTTTTTTTCCTTCTTCTCTGTGCTCTGTCTAGGCATACTGCTTCTGGAAATTTTGATGAGCCAAGAGAGTATTTCTTGAGGGGTGTGTGTGTGTTTTGTTTATTTTCTTCTCTCTCCTTCAGCAAAGCCCAGGAGATGCTGAGAGTTAGAGGCTTGTCATGTGTTGGGCAGCTGATCTACCTGGGTGTCATAGTGGCCCCTTAGAACAGAAGCAATTTCTAATAGTTTATTATGCCTTCATTAGACAAGGGCGTGAGGTTATTGTGTAGCACAGAGGTGAACCTGAGCATATTTGGTTTAGAAATGAGCTCCGTGGGGTGAATGGACCTCTCGCCTTCAAAGTCATGTCCCTGGTGAAAAAARCAGCTTTTTGCACCTCTAGCTGAGCTGGGTGAGTTGGGTCAGATGGCCTGGGTGCCCTCAAATACTTCGGGATGCAGCTCTTCACTGTAAATCACCATCAGGATTGCAAGCTACAAAACGTAGTGCTGGGGTAATGGGACAGGGAAGGAAGACGGCAAATACGCAGGCTATAAAAACATGAGTCATTGTGGGTTTGTACAGTTTCCTACTTAATTGGCTGCTTAAGCAAGCTGAGCTGACTAAGGTCATTGCCCGGCCTCAGCGGAGGCATTCAGAGCTGCTGAGCTGGTGTCCAGCAAGGGCTGACGGGGCACAGGAGAAACCAGGACCTCTGGAGCAAGGGAGCAGCTCCCAGGGCGGCCAGCTCGCATAGGAACAAGAGGCACCTCTGCARGAGGAGCCCACTACGGAGGATCCACCCGTATTTACAAGGCTTGTGCTGGCTGCTTAAAGAATGTGGCTTTCCCGCGAGGTGTTAACCGACACCCCAGTCCTGTGCCGGCCTTTCTACGTGATGTGCACAGAGGCCGGTGAGTAATCAGCAAGGCTCCTTGCACGTAGAAGGAGGCGGCAAATGACTGTTACATCAGTCATTGAACCAACAGCACTGACTTGAAACAGAGGTCCGTGGCACCTGAAGACTGGTGTTTTGGAGACTCTTGATAACTAAAGATTATTCAAAAGCAAAAAGCAGCTGTATTGAAATGTTATCTCTTGAAATCTTCTTGGCATATCGGTGCTTCACAGTCGAGTTATACTTCTCACTGCCCTTCAGGTGCTTGTCCACCACGAAGAACTTGCTATGCTGCTCACAGGGTGTATGTTTTGAGGTGGCGACAGAGATATACCATTAGAATGAGGAAAAGATGGTAGAAGAGACCGCAGAAGGCCTTTTGTACTAGGTTGTCTTGTATGAGAAAGAGAAGAAAACAATGCAATAAGTAACATTCAGATTTCAYGTTCAGCACCTCAGTGTCGCGTGGGCGATGCTTTGATGTGGATGTAAACCTTGGAAAGCTCCCAAGGAGGAGCTCTCGTTTAAACTAGCACATCAACTTGTGCTCTGAACGTGACCTGCTGGTGCTTTTAAATAGATCACACCGGTGATCTAACTTCTTATGACTCCAGGTATTTAATAATATCCTCTTTAGTAATGATCTAGCACTGCTATTAAACTGAAGGTAGTGTTTAAAGCTGGAAAAAGGGATGAGGGGCAAAGCTCTACCTACTAGGGGAGTCAGGACAGTTTCTGAAATGTTGGTGATAAATCAAGCTAGCGAAACATGATCAGTTAGTCTTTGGACATGAGTATCTGCCTGGGGCTGGGCTCAATTTTGGGCCTCTATCACAAAGTGTGGTGGCTGCTTCCACGATCTAATTGGACCTTTGAGTAATGCATAGATCCTATGTGTTATAGGCTGTTGGTAACTTAACCTCTCCCAAAGATTTAGGAGGGAAACCTTTTCAGGGAWAGCTGGATATGTACTTGTTTCCTTGTGGAATGTGCTGTAGACAGTGCCTGTGTGGGACTGAAGTATGTTGCAAAGCTTGCTAAGCAGCTGAAATATCACAGCTTTAAAACCAGGCCCGTGGGGATATTTGCATGGTTTGTGCCCTCATGCACCTTTCTAACTCTAGTGGGTAGCCTGAAGGACAGGACCCTGATTTTTTTTGTAATCGGTTCAGGGACTAGGAGTTCTATATTCCTTTTCTAAGGTTTTGAGGAGTTCCTGCTAAAGGTGAGGTCTACACCAATGTGCTGGAGTTTGCCTGCTTGCATGCTGGGGGGAAGAACCCTTTCCTTTTTTTTTTTTTTTGTGTGTGTGTTTGTGCATGTCTTTTTCTGATAACGAGTATATCTAAAAAAACCCACCAGGCTGCCTTTTGCTCACGTCCTGTGTAAGAGTAGCATTGGAGGCTAAACTTTTTCTTTTTGGTCTCTAAAAGGGGAGAATACCTTGACCTGTGGTGCGAGGAGTGTTGTRTTTGAAGCCACAGGGCTGTGCTGTAGCAGCTGGAAGACCTTGGACAGTGCAGATCGTGGGCTAGTGAGAAGGAAAGGAAGTTACTTGCATTTCTGCAAGTGGTGCCTTTTTTTTTTTTCCAAGGCAGGTGTAACCTGACTTTAGATCAAAGTTAAATTTTTAGCTTTGATGAAAGTTCCGCTATTTTAAGCCTCTGAGAATAAGCGGAAGGATTAGATTAGGTAAACTGAAGTAAACAAGTCTTGCTCTTTGGTGCTGAAAACATGCATGGCCTTGGGAAATAGGGCAGATGGAGAGAGATTAGAGGAGAGGACTTTGCACCAGTCTGCGGTAGGGTGGGGTAGACCTGGGTTTCTTGGGTCCCTGGGCATGCCTGAGCACTGGTTGGTGGTGGTCTTCCTGCTTGGTGGTTTTATGAAGCATGCCTAAATCCCCTGGAAAATCTGGCACCAAAAAAGAAGTGTGCCTCAACTGTTGACTAGTGGGGCACAAGTCAGATACCCCTGAAATGTGTGCCATGTTTGTAGAGGGTGTTGCGTTGGTGCTGTACCTGTGTTCRCGCACCCTCCTCCTGGCCGGGCATGGCTGAAGGGCAGGGGTAACTTGAGTCTTCCCTCTCACCCTTAGAGTGGGCTGTCGGAGCCCTGTGTTCCGGTGCTGCAGCTCYCAAAGTTAGCTGAGCTTGTGGGCTAGAAGTCGGAGGATAATCTGGATAAGTCAATGTGTCCAAGTGCTGGAAGCCTGTTTGGGTTGCATGAACCTGCCTCTTATTTTTGTTTTGGGGAAAAATCCACTGCCGCCKAAGCTAAGCTGAGCAAAACCTACTGCTGCTATGGCCAGCTGAGAGCTTTTGAGCACTGCAAAGGGACGCCGTGGTGGCCTCTGGCCTCGTGGTGGCATGACTWGTGCTTGGTCTCCTCCTTGTATGGTAGGCCTAGCGTGAGTTGAGCTTTCTTGTAACAGTGTGACTTGTGTCGTGAGAATGATCCGTCGGGAAAGCTGTGCGTGCTTCGGAGCTCCGAGCGGAGAAACCGTATTCCCAGATTTTGCCAAACAAACGGTGGCAACACTATGTTTGATTAACCATCCGAGAGGAGGAGGTAGATGAGAACTGCTTTTCTCTGCTAGGGTGTGTGGCAGAAGCTCTTGCTTCTCTGCAATAGTAAACCTGGCTCGCCCGCTCACAAATGCTGTAATTAATTTTGTGTAATGATTCAAGCCTGATCTGAGTGCGAACATTTATTTGGCGGTCCATGTGTACCCCAAGTTCACTTAGAGGGGCTCCAGAAACGGTGGCATTCTGAGGAATTTCTTCCTCCAAGCCTGTTTTGCCATGGTCTTTCCTAGAAGGTTCCTGGCTATAACATTGTTTAGGATAACATGCAGCCAGAAGGTACGGAGCTAGTGTGGGAAGCAGTAGTTCCCGGAGCAGCTCTTGCCTCAGCGGTGGAAGAACTGGGAAAGCGAGGGGCCGTGTTGGCAGGGTAGGTGTGGAGGTGGCAGGAGCGCAGGCGGTCGGCGGTGCTGGCAGCCTCACCTGGGGAGCTGGGTGGTCGAGAGGAYGCCGTGGGTCGGGACGCTGAGCCTGCAGGAGGCGAGAGGTAGAAACCTCGTGGCTTAGCATGGGGCTGCTGCTTTCAAAACTGGAGTTACTGGGAGSTGGGTTGTGCCCTGCCTGCAGGCAGTCCCTCTTGTGTCTCCTCTCTAGATATAGTTGTTCTGAGCAGACCAGTGGGGCCCACCTGTATGCCATTAAAACAGTACGTATTCCTCTGGTACTGCTTGGGAATGAGGTCTGAACAAGGTAATAGCCCCARCGTCAAGCACAGGCACAGAGTGTTGTCAGGTTGTGTGCCTGTGTCAGAGACRCCCACTGTAACTCTTTTCCTAGAAAGAGGATCAGGCTGTGTGTGGGTGGAATAATATTCATAGCTTTATCGTCACAGGCAATCATAAAACCGGCCATTGTTTGTTGAGCTTCCTGTCCTCTCTAAAAGCAGTGTAGGGGAAAAAAAGCAGATCCAGGACAGATGGGCTCCCACATGCTCCAAAAGCCGTGGAGTTTGTCATGCTTATCTAAGTACGAGTGAAGGCCGGTGTCTGAGGTGCAGGAGCTGTTTAAAATCGCTTTGTGGGACTGAGTTGACGCACGCCTTTGGCCCAAGAACAGGTTGAACTGGCTGGGAATGAGCAGCGGGCTCCGGAGCCCGGGCATGGTTTTGTCACACGTGTTTGTGGGGGGAGCAGAGGGACAGAGCTGCCGGGAACTTCCAGCTTGATGGTGCTGGGGTTTTTGGTTGTGAAATATGTTCAGGCAGCGCTGCTTCGGAGCAATGATTCATCTGGAAAAGATGAGTGGTTGTAAAGACCACTCCTTGGAAGTCACAGCCTGCCTCTTGAAGCGTTACTTTTTAGGAGAGTTGCTTAAGTGAATATTGCTTGTTATATGCATATTAGGAACTTATTACATATSTATTTCAGCTGTGAAATTAACATTTCTTTCTTCCACAGTGGGCCACTATACGAATGGAAAAAGGCAACAAAAAGGCACAGCCGCAGCTGCTCAAAACTCCTGTTGCTAACGGTAAGAATGGAGTCAAGCCATCATGATATGACCCTCACGCTGAAGCAGGGCAGCCATCTAAAATTGAGATAGGGGTGTGTGTTTGTGTGTGTGTGAGAGGGACAGGAGAGGAKATGGGCTGGCTGCAGCTTACTGTTAGACCGACTTGTTTTGAAATCCTACTGGCACAAGAAATGCTGCTGAAGGGTGAAATGCTGCTTGTATTGGCCTGTGCTGAATGGCTGAGAAGCCCAGAAGGGTTGAGAAAACAGGGGTATGAAATASCAGTATGTTTAGTGAAACCAAGTGGGCTTAAGCTGGAGGCTGTTCCCAACTGAAGGAAGCGTTCAGCTTGCAGTATTCACTCTTGTCCCAAGGCCTGCGTTYAGGTCAGTGCTGACCAGGCTGCTGGCCAGTGGTATCAGATCTCTTTAGAGATCTGTGAGCGTAATGGCAAGTGTTTTGAAGTCCAAGCCCAGCGCTCCTCTTTCACAAGCTCAGGGCTTTSTTTCTGTTGTAGGGTGTGTGTTTTGTTTCTTCCTTTCTTTCAGTCTGCTTCTGTTTCCCTTTTGCCCTCTTGAGTTATTTCAGTCTTCAGACAAACTTGCATGCTTTTTTCTTATACAGAAAGAAAGCCGAGTAATTGCTTCATGTTTCCTCCTTTACCCAAATTTTGAAAATTCTTCTCTTGCTGTATCTTATCCCATACAGCATTTGATGGTAGGCTGTACTAGATCGGAGTTGTCTGCAAGAGAACTTTGGAGCTGTATGTGCAGCAAAAGTAGCCTGAACTTGCACAGAAAACTCAAGGAAGGGGAAGGATGAGCCTACCATTGCATCCAGCACTTGGTCTTCTCCTGTTTCCTGACTGAAATTCATATTTCTATTGATAAATCTGTCCAAAAGATCAGCTTACTGTTGGCCTCTTTACTGTGTTCACCTTGCTAGGCACTGTACCTGAAAGGAGGATAGCACTTAGCCAGATGGTTCTCTGAACCCACAGAACAGCTCTTATGTGTAACGGGGAGTGAACTCTTGAAGTGGTCATGTCTTTTGAAAAGACATGACACACAAAGAAAGTGTGTGTCCCACTTCCAAAGCAGCTTCCTTGCCCATGCTGGAGATACCAGGTGTTGCACTCTCAGCTTGCCAGGTCTGACAGCAGTTTGGATGGTGGCAATCCAGCTTGGATTGCCAGCTGTCACCAGTGGTAATAATAAACTGGAGGTGCTGCACAACAGCCCTGAACGAGGATCAAATATGACTTCTAATTTAATTTGTGACCTTAACTGTGACTTTAATTTAATGCTGTAGTGTATAACCTGGAGGAATCTGTGTGCAGCCATCCCTTTGATCTCTCCAGGCACTAGTGATAATGCCTGTGGGTGACTTGTATAGACAATAGTGTGCAGCCTTCTGTGTTCAAACAGTCTTCCGTGTTAGGTTTGAACGCAAAAAGGAAGCATTTCTTCTCTGAGGATGTCTGCTCCTGCAAAAAGTTTGGTGATGCTCCAGAAGCAGCTTGCCATGAAGGGAAGGGGACAAGGTGGCTCTGTTGTCCGTGGGGACAACTGGCACATAGTTCGCTCTTGGGAAGTATGGGAACAGGAGAGACTTGTTTTCCTGCACCAACCTGTACGATTTATTGTTCTCTGGAGCTTTTGAATTGTCGGRATGCTGGTTGGGGAGGAGAAGAAAAAAAATGAAGGTAAAAGACAAAGCTTGTGATGAACATGCTAACCTTACAGGGTCAAAATTCTCTTTGGCTCCATCCTGATGCCTTTTGAGGCACAGCTGCTGCTTCTGTGCCTGCCCTGCAATCCAGTAGGCCATTTGCTTCCAAAATCATAGAAATCATAGAGTCATAGAAAGCTTAACGTTGGAAGGGACCTCAGAGGTCATCTAGTCCAACCCCCCTGCTCACGCAGGGTCACCCAGCGCACAGGGCTGCGTCCAAGCGGGTTTTMAAGRTCTCCAAAGGGGGAGACTCCACAACCTCTCTGGGCAGCCTGTTCCCGGGCTCTGTCACCCTCACTSTTAAGAAATATTTCCTTAAGTTCCTGTGGAACTTTGGGTGCCTCAGCTTGTGGCCATTTCCTCTAGTCCTATCGCTGTCCAAATGTTGTCCTAGCTCAGAGGACAGGCCCAAACGTCACGGGTCACGGGTGCTGTCAGAACCGCCAAGCAGTGCTAGGTGGCTCTCGYGCTCAGGGTAGCGGTGAGGTTCTCCATGCCCTGCTAGGGCTGAATAGGTGGTGGGTAGGTAGCCCCAAGCACAGATCTACACTCAGTGGTGGTTGTGCACGTGCTGGGGCCGTGCAAAACTTGGGGGAGCAGCAGGGTGGATCTGAGGTGAGTGCTGCTGGGTGCCCGTGGCCATGAGGGCCTGCAGCTGTCTGCACACTCCATTTCTAGCACTGAAAAGGAGCGTGGTTCTGCCTGCAGAACTGCTGGCCACCCTGGGAGGCGCAGGTGTAACGATGCTGTGCTCACATTGGCCTCTGAGGTGTCAGAGCATGAGCAAGCGGAAAAGCCCAGCTGGGTTAGGCAATGTTCCCTGGGGGAGGAGAAATTCCTGGTGATGAGAGATGGCAGAGTRTTGAGTAAAATGGGCTAAAGGTAAAGGCAGGCATGTGTGCGTGTTGTCAGATTGAGACCCTGTAGTGCCTCCTCCCTCCTTCCTGTGCCCAATCCCCATGGGGAGGTGGGATGGGAAAGGAGGGGGAATCACATGTATGGGCCAAATGACTTGTTTTCCTGGGGTCAGGACACTGTTCCCTGGCAGAACAAAAAGTGCACTTTTTCCAGAGAATTTGAAATCTCGCATCAACGGGCTCTTCAGCGTGACTGAGGAGGCACCACCTTTCACTGCGTTACCCAACTCCAGGGTCACCTGTGACCCTCCACCGAGGGAGGGTCCATCGCCCCCACACTGGTAGCATGGGATGGAGCAGTGGCGGGAACAAGGTCAGCTGCTGGTTTGGCCAAGTGGGGAACTGTTTGGCACTGTCACTTCCTCCTGTGTTGCCTGTGTCAGAGGGCACTGTGTCACCCACTGGGCACGACAGGCGACTCTGGGCAGGATTTCAGAGGCTGGCTGCACATGTCTGAGTAACTGCATGGTAGTGCCTGTGTCAAAAGGCCATGCTGCTCTCGTGTGTGAATTTCAAGCCACCCAAACACTCTTCAGGTGCAGATTTTGTAAGTGTCGTCCCTTGAGAGAAGGGCACGCGCAGATACCTGAGTGTTACTAGGTAGGGTAGAGCTTGAGCATGGTGTACCTGGTGAAATGGCATGAGAGCTTGAGACTTAGAGCTTAAGTGTTCAGGGATTGTGCCCTGACTTTGTGAGCAGCGGGGTGGTTATATCCGTGTTAGGGTCACAAGTGACGCCTGCTGTGYTCCTGCTTGGTGCGGCCTTCCAGCTGCCTCTGGCAAACTCGTGGCCAAGGGCTTAAAGGTCGTTAAASGCTACCCCTAATTAGAAGGGGGCTCAGTATATTGCTTGCGCAGCGTGCGTTTAATTCTGTGCACRTTGCTGCTGAGCTCTCGGCGGGGCGCTCTTCGCCCCAGAGGCCACGCGGGCGCTGGCGGTGCCCAACGACGGTGACACAACAGGAGAGAGGTTAGAGCGAGGGCGTCCTGCCTGTGCCAGCCAAGGGCTGAACTTCAGCCCTAGGCTCCCTGCGTTGCGCCCGTGGCTGTGCAAGCCAAAAAATGGGAGCCAGGAGCCTCTGGGGATGAATGGGTGCAATGCGGACGTTCCCCAGAGCAGCTGTAGTCTGAAAGCTGCCTGCTGTGTATTCCCAGTGTCTGTCTTTCCATGTGCTAGCAAGACTGGCGCGGGAAGCAGGCTTGAATTCTGTGGGATGTGTATTTGAGGGAAGGCGCCGTGTGTTTTGAGACAATTGTCCCGGTTYTCTGACTTTAATCCCAGCTTTGAAACAGAGGGATTATGCAACTGGTCAGGAGGCGTCTGTAAGAGCAGTGACCTGCGCTKGGACCTCTGTAATCCTAGCTGGGTGTTCCAGGTGATGGCTCTTCTGGCTCACTGCCCATCTACATCTCGGACATCAGCTTCTGGAGCTAGATTTTGTTCACGAGACAGCAGCCCCTTGATCTTTATATTTATCTTGCCCCATTTGCTCTCACCTTTGTGGCCTCCGTGAGAAATCAGTGCTTATTAGGCTGGCATATCGGACCATTTATATAAAAAAAACCTATAAATTTGTCTAAGATGCATATTGTTTCTACTGCCAACAGTTTTCCCTTCTTTCATTGGGCATTATATGGGCAGAGTTGAACTGAAACATCACAGAATGGTTAAGACTGTAGGGGACCTCTAGAGATCATCTAGTACAACCCGAAACATGACCATTGTTGACCAACCACACTGTTATTACGCTAAGGCAACTCTAAGCACAGCTTCATCTGATGTTCTTTCTCTTGGAGGGTTTTTCTTTCTTTAATGGGTGCTATAATAAAAACAAACAAAAAAATGTGATCCTGTCTGTGCTCATGGCTTCTGTGAAGTAAGGTAGGTGCCTTTGGTCCAAAGCTGCCCTTTGCTCAGGTGTCAGTTCTCACTTCATCTTCTGTGTCAGCACAAGATGGTCTTGGWTAAAATTTCTGAGTTGATAATGTGTCAGATGGTGGGAAGGGGTTGTCTTTCTTGCTTCACCTCCGGKAGGTTGGGTATGTTTGCTCCTCAAGAGTCCGTTTGAGGAATGGGAGCTCCAGCCAGGCTGCTGAAGGGGATGCAGTATTCAAATACGCTGMTTTTCTTGTCACAGATGTAGAGCTCTGATAGTAAAGCTGTCTCCTGAAACATTGCAGAGGAGCAAGTTCTTTGGAGGATGGCTGTTATTGTACAGAATGATTTTCTCATACGGTTACTCTTTCTTCCCCAAGGCATCATAGAAAGAGATGAAACCACTATGGAGAAAGAAATTGCAGGTCTGCATCGAGTGGACTTCGAGTTCTCCGACATATTCTATTTCTGCAGAAAAGGCTTTGAGGCCATCGTGGAGGATGAAGTCACCCAAAGGTTTTCTTCCGAAGAGCTGGTCTCCTGGAATCTCCTCACAAGGACTAACGTCAACTTCCACTACGTCAGCCTGCGGCTGACTGTTGTGTGGGTTGTTGGGGTTGTGGTGCGGTACTGCTTCCTGCTGCCCCTCCGGTGAGTGCGGGAGGAACTCTGTGCATCTGGGAATGCATCAGTGGGGATCACTTTAGGAAGCATCAGTTCTCTAGCAGGAGATAAGATSAACAGAGGCCACCTGTGGGTACAGGCAGAAAACTTTGACTAAACAGCTGCTCACAACACTTACCTTCTCATTCCCCATGAAGAATAGTTTAGGGCCAGTAATTGTCTTTTCCATGACTATGCTGCCCAGGTCGGATGGATTGGCAACCGAAGAGGAAAATGGGCAATGTTGACTTGACCTCTGACCGTGTAAGTGTTGGTGGGTCTGATGTCGTTGCCTTTGTACTGTGTTTTGAGCAATATGTGGCTGAGAGTCATTAACAGTAAAGCCTTAGAAAAATGGGTATTTGGGGATTCTGAGGAAGAGCTGAACTTCTGCCATTCGTTTCCATTTTAAAGGGAAAGGTGATATTGAAAGGTCCCAAACGAGTTATCCAGCTTGAATGTCTCTCTCCTTACAGCTTTACGCTGGCTGCCATTGGGATTACCTCGATGATTGTGGGGACCACAGTGGTAGGGCAGCTGCCAAACAGCAGGTGAGTAGGGGTGGGTGTGTGGACGTGAGGGACACAGCAGCCAAGTTGGTAGCATTGCTGTGCAGAGAAGCCAGGGTGAAGACTGGGACAGATGCTGACATAGTTCATAGTGAATGACACCCACAAACAGTGTCCCTGTTTATGGCAGCATTTCTCCTTGAGCCTGAGTAGGGCTTCTGGCCAAGCTTCATACTGAGGATAGTGATTTCTGATGGGACCCTTGTGGGAGAGAAAGAGGCTGAGTTGTTGTTAAAATTGAAGAATGTCAGGAAGGTCTTGGGAACTAAAGTCTCAGGACTGCCAAGCTGAAGAATTGAGGTGCAAAACAGCCCCTCAGGTAGGGTGCTGGTCATSTCCGTTCCTCAAGGAAAGGAGAAATATGTGTGCTCATGTGACCTTGGTACAGGTACTGAGGAAGATGGAAGGAGACGAGAATTACTAAATARACTTCTCTGCTTTTAATCCACCTGGTAAATAAGTAGTGCAGTATCCTACTGAGCAACTAAGACAGGTTTCTTTAAAAGGACTAATGGGGAGAAGAGTCAGAGGAAAGAATCTGATTTCAGCAGTGTGCATTAGTGGCAGGATAGTGAGGCAGTGTCCAGCCAGGGGCACCCAGTCACGTGCAGAAGTGCATAGGAAAGGGCAGACAGAGCTCTGTGCTGGSACAGCGCCAGAAACGGAGCAAATAAGGGTTGAAGGTAATAGTGAATTGTTCAGGTCTCCCTCCCTCCCTTCCTCTTTCTGCACCTGTCCAAGTTGTAATTCAGGAGACGTGTTGGCACCCTTGTTCTGTGGTGGGGTCTCGCTGCCAAGGTCAGTCCTTGGTTAAACACTAACGCTTCTGAGGCACTGGCAGCTCCTGGGCTGCTTTGGTGCTAGGATACAAAATACCAGCGAGGGAATGTCTGCCTTGCCTGCTACCTGAGCAAACAGAATTGAGAATGATGTGTCTGGGCTGAGCTACTAAGGCAAGTGAGTGATTCAGGTGGGAATAGCCCACTGTGCTTTGAGTAAAAACCTCTCCCATCCCTGGCTCTGAGTAGGCTGGAGAGTACTGTCAGTGTGGAACTGCTTTGCAAGGTGCTCCCCACTACTGCGTTGTCTCTTTCAGTGTGAAAAGCTACCTGAGTGAACTCGTCCACCTCACGTGCTCCCGGATCCTTGTTAGAGCGCTCTCTGGCACCATCCATTACCATAACAAGTGAGTGACCCAAATGTCAGCGTTGTCCAGGCCTTTGTGTGTCCCTCTACCGGCGTGAATGTCCCTGTTGAAAYGGGGCTGCTCGTTCCTGACCCCCAGGTGGGCCTTGCACCAGATGCCGACTCACCTGCAAGTTCTAAAGRAAAGCCCACGTAACGGGGAGCGCCCTGCAGTGTTAGCCTGACAACACATTTTGTATTTGCAGGGAAAACAAACCTCAGAAAGGCGGCATCTGCGTGGCCAACCACACGTCGCCGATAGACGCCATCATTCTGACCAACGATGGCTGCTACGCGATGGTACGCGGGACCCCGCGGTGGCACGGGGGAGAGGGCGGGCGTGCCAAAGGGGAAGGCCAGCGGATGGTGGCTCTGGGGTTTAGCATTTCATTTTCACACTTAGTAGTGAGGTTCAGTGTTGGTCGGTGGGAAGAGTGCAATTGTGCTGATGTTGGACTACACAGAAGCTTTTGTTCTGGTGAAATTGCCCTGCAATGTCAATGCCAAGAAGTTCTTCTCATTTTAAGCTCGAGTTTTATGTGCTTCCAGACCCTTTTAATTGATTGCATTTCACACATTTTTACTGGCATTTCCCAATCCTGATTTGCAGTCTCCAGCAGGCCTTTTTCTTTTTTCCTTTTAGTCATAGGGATACAGAGAGGAATCTGTACTTTGCAGGAGTTATTTTTATGCTAACCTGTCTCATTGGTCCTGCAGGTTGGCCAGGTTCACGGTGGGCTCATGGGCGTTATTCAGAGAGCCACCGTCAAGGCCTGTCCTCACGTCTGGTTTGAACGCTCAGAAGTGAAAGACCGCCACCTAGTGACAAAAAGGTGAGTTGGGACTCGAAAATCAAGGACCCAGATTAGGAATTAGAAAGCTGCCAAAACAAAAGCCAAGGGAGGTGAACGTGGGAAGGGACACTTGGAACCTCCTTGTCCTGTAAGGACTTGGTGTCTTGCAAAAGCATCTCCTGAGGGTAGGACTGAGGGTATCTAGTTGTCTAGTTCCGAAGGGTGGTGGCTGCTGCTTGCAAGCCCTGATGATAGGGACACCAGTGACCTGGAATTCCGTGTTCCTGATGGAACCTTCCAAGCAGGAGGAGCAGGTAGGAGCGGGAGTGCTCAGTGTAGCAGCACAGTGTGTGCCAGCAGTTAGAGCAAGAGCAGTGCCTGGCTCATTCAGAATGGCCTGAAGGTGCGTGCTTGGAGAAAATAGACTTGCCAAATGTCAGGCCCCCAAATTGCTCAGGAACACTGGAATGCTTGACAAGCTTCACAAGGGGGAAGTGTTTCAGACTGAAGGTTTTGGGAAAGATTGGATTGTAGCTGAGCATAACAAAAGATCTGATTTGGGTAACCACAACTCTGTTTTGTTAAAACACATCTGCTCAGAGAGTCAAAGTGGAGAGAAACTATTTATTAAACTTTGTTATTTGCTTCTGCAGGCTGAGAGAACATGTGGCAGATAAGAGCAAACTTCCAATTTTAATTTTTCCAGAAGGTAAGAAACAGAACAGCTCTTTTTCTCTATTCAACATAATCTCACCTGTGTCATTCTCTTGTCATGGCTTCTGATGCTCTAAGGGAGCTAACCCATTGCTTAGACTTGTATTAGGACTTGGATGTTATTTTTGCCTTTCTTAAAAGGCTTCGCAAAGACAAYGGTGTACGATCTCTGGCTATTGCGTCTTCTGACAGAAGCTGTATGCAGAAGAAAGGGAATATTATTTGCTTTATTCTGTGAATCTAGTGGTCTTTCTCTATTGCACATGGTCTTGACTCAGCCAGGGAGTCTGTCACAGGACCAARGGAAAGACAGGAGCGGGGAGATGCTTGACTTGAAGGGGTCTGCATTCGCTCCTCAGCACACGCAAGATCTGTTGCTGCAGTCTTGGGGCACGCTATGTGAAGCAATGTCTTTCTCTTCTGGACAGGCACCTGCATCAATAATACGTCTGTGATGATGTTCAAGAAGGGGAGCTTTGAAATAGGAGGGACAATCTATCCTGTYGCAATCAAGGTAAAGGGAAATGAGTGTTTAACCCTTGGATGTTTGGGAGTTGTTCTCWCTCAGCATTTAGGAAGCTGTCTCTGCCCAGCTGCTAGTAAAAGCTGGAGCTTGATGGAGCTGGGGGGCTGAGGCAAAGAGGAAGGGGAGGGAGAGGGGGCAGGAGGAGAGGGTTGGGGTGGAGGGGGGAGCTGGATAGGGTGGTGGGGAGGGAAAGGCAGAGGTGTGGGAGGGATCCCTCAGTTTGTGGAGCTCAGTGCCTAGGACTGGGAGGGCTGCTGCCCTCCAGAACACTGGAAGGAAGGCTGCAGAGGGAGACCCACATGGTCCTTCYTGGTGCTGGAAGGAAGAGAAGCCTGGAGCTCACAGGAGAAGTGGCTCTTGTGGTGGTTCCAGCAAACAGGTGACCACCCCTGCCATGCACCACAAGATGCATAAATGAACATGGGTTAACATCATAAAGCCTCCCGTTAAATAAATGCATTAGATGTGAATATTCTCTCTGGCTTGTGCCTGCCAGTATCCCCCTGAAATCCCCAAGAGGCCATGGCTGCCTTTGAGCAACTGTTTTCCAKCTTGCCTTTTCTGATCCTTTCCAGTATGATCCGCAGTTTGGAGATGCCTTCTGGAACAGCAGCAAATACAACATTGTGAGCTACCTGCTGCGAATAATGACCAGCTGGGCCATTGTGTGCAATGTGTGGTACATGCCACCCATGGTTAGAAAGGTAACTTGCCATATGGGTGACTGAGGGGGGTTTAAGATCCACACTGTCTCTGCAAGCGCTATTTTTCCCCCTTGTTTTTCCTTCTCTTTCCATGAACTTCTGCCCGCCCCTTCCCCAATGTCCCTATCCAAATCAAAAGGGTTTTATCCTGGACTCTGTTAGTGTTGATTTTTGCCCTGTACTTGAACTTTGCTTTTCCTGATGTATTTTCCTAAAAGATTGGCTAATGCCAGCTAGCGTGAAGAGTATATTCTTAGTTTGCGAAATAGGCCGTGAACTCATTGTACTGGAGCAAAACTTTCCCCTCATTTTAACATTTTGGGGAAAAACTGAGAGCTAGATGAGTAACACATAGGAAGCTCAGTTCATCTTGGGCTCAGGAGGGAGGAGGGATCTTTTGTCCTCAAACTTTATCTGCTGAAACAGCAGATGAAAACAAAAAAGTATGATTCAAGTCTTTCTAATCTCATTATGTCAAACTTGAAACCCTTGAAGGAAGGAGAAGATGCCGTTCAGTTTGCCAACAGAGTGAGGTCTGCCATTGCTCAACAGGGAGGACTGACCGAGCTTCCTTGGTGAGTAATGCCAGCGTGTTCTTAAGCGTATATACAGCCTACCTACACTTATAGGCTTATCTTTACTATAGTTTTCCATAAGATGGGCTGCTGCTACGGTTTAAGGAAAGGTCTTCCCACTTAGTCAAGTGTTTTTATTCGATTGTAGGTGCAGCCTGGTATCGTGATTATGCTTTAAAAGGCTAAGCTTTACATTTGGCCTGTATATTCATTAAGGCTTTGATTAAGCCTTTCTAGTAAACACACTTAAACTTGTATTTAAAAGTTCCTAGGAAGAACCTCCTGAAACATCTTGTAGTCAATTCTAGAATCTTTTTCGAAGATATTCAGTATAATAATAATTTTGATAACAATAACAAACTTGGAGTACTTTTGYTCTGTTCTAGGGATGGAGGCCTGAAACGAGCTAAAGTCAAGGACACTTTCAGGGAAGAACAGCAGAAAAACTACAGCAAGATGCTAGTAAGAAACGGATCAATAGGAAATCTGTCTACAGGAACGGAGTCAGACTGAACGGTGGTTTTCTTGCRCAAATTTTGCACAACCAGCCTTAGCAGGAATAATTGTTTTTAATTACAAGGAAAAAAAAGAGCAATGAATCCCTCTTGTCATGTGTGTGCATATTCTCTGTGTGGCTGGTGCAGAGCCTGCCGGGGCAGTGTCTCTGTATCTCTCCCTCCTTCGCCCTTTTCCCCCTCCCTCTGCTATCTCCTCCTCATCTTCACTGTAAGCATGATGATACACTGCTGTGATGTGGCTCCTGGTAAGGACTGGAGAGAGTTCAGGGACGCAAGCACCAAAAGCAGCACTCTGCTTGTTCTGAATTGGTAAGGCTGGGGCAAGTACCCTGAACAGAAGCTCCYGGAACACTGGTTGTGCAGGTACTGCGTGGTTGTGGTAACTGGCAGCTTCACACGCAGCCGAGTTGTTTGTTTTCTCCCTGATGCTCCCAGGCTTGTTGGGAATTTGTATATAATGTGGTTTAGGATGGTGTCAAAATCAGGGCTGACTCTGGTTACCTTGCCTAGGGTGTGTGTGGAGGAGGGTGGCAAGGACTATAGATCCCAAAGGCTAGAGAAGGAGCTGCTGGGCCCAAAGTGCAGCTTGAGGACATGGGGAATTTGGCAGCCTTGTGACATGMGAATGACTTCATGGGAACTTGAGTCTGAAGGGTGATGTGAAGAGCCAAACCCTCCACCTTGCTGTCTACTGCTACTGTTCATTTGCCTTTCTTCAGGCCAGGAGAGCTATCTTAAGGGTAAGACCCAGTAGGCAGCTGAAGAGGTTAGATTGTGGCAGATGGGTTCTGGGAAGTGGATTTGCAAGGTTACTTTTCTGGAGGAAAAAGAAGTATTGCTAATGGCTTAAAGGTCTTAAGAGTATAACTCTAGATCCACTGTGATCTGGGCCAGCAATAGCTATGACAACTCTAAACAGGATCCATAAGTCATCTGTGATACAAGTGGCATGTTGAAAACTATAATGTATTGCTGTCTTAATGTAAAGAGAAATAAATTCTATATTTCTAATGGGTCTTGTGTGGCATTTATGTTCTGTCCTATGTGTTTAAATAAAACAATTATGTTTTCTGAAGACTCTGAGTTAGGGTCATAGAAGCTTAACTGACTCTGGCCTGGGGCACCATCTGATATCTAATGTGAATTTTTCTCCTCTCCAACAAATCAAGGTGTYTCTTCTGTCCAGAAAATAGAAGCGACTTGCACATGGTGCAGACTGAACCTGAGATTAGAACGTGAAGTCACCTCAGGGAGGYTGGGCCAATTAAATTGTAATTAACTCTAAAGCAACAATGAACCTCTAAATTTGTGTCAAAGGGTGAGTTTGTTTGTTACACATCTTTTCCCAGAGCAGAGACTTTCAGTTTAATGCTGTGCTGACAAGCACTGTTCCAAAATTGGAAAAAAGAAAGTTTTTTTCAAGTTAGCCTTAGAAATGAGGTTCCTGAGATTGCTGATTTTTTTTTTCCTCCTTCCTCCTTATTCCTCATTATGTGCACTTGCATTAACATAGCTGCACCAAAATTGATGACTGGAAGTGTCTACACTGCATGTCGTACTTGGGATASGTGGTCTAGAAACCCACTGGAGCCATGTGAGCTTGAAGAAAGCAGTAGAAATGGCTTTTTGGTTTAGCCTGATGGGCTCTTTTAAAGAGCAACGGGTTAATATTGAGAGGATTAGAGTTGATAGCTAAGAAGCAAGGCAGAAGTTTTTGCCCAATTTGAGTCTAATTTGACTATTCTATATTATATATAGTATATACTATATTATCTGTCTATATAGTGTGTGTATATAATTTCACTATATACTATAATACCATAGTAGGCTGCAGTGTGTAGTGTGTGTATGTGTGAAAAATTATGCCTACATTTATTTTTCTGTTGWATTCACCATTAATATTAGTTACAAAATTCCATTGAATGCGAGTTGTGCATCTTGGCTTCCAGGATCCCCCTGAGTTCCGACTGAGTCGGAGAGAAGCAAAGGAGCCCATGGCGCTTAGTTCTGCAAGCTGCTGAAGAAAGGAAAAGATCTGCTTGTGGAGTAATGGAAAGTGAGATAAATGCATCTTAACTTATATAAGACAACACAGCCAAGCACCAAAATAATATCGAGGCTTTAAGTAGTTCTTCTTTCTTAAAAAAAAAAAAAAAAAAAGAAAAAAAAGAAGAAAAAAAAAAAAAAAGGAAATGAGTAAAATGCAGAAAGAGAATTTCTTCCCTTGAGCTTTGCTATATATCAGCTTTTGCAGTTGTATATCAGAGTCTTACTAAGGTTAATGTGTTCTCCCTTTAAGCTTTTATTTTTTCCTCCCTTGTAGTCCTGGAGTGTAATGTCCCCTGAACTTAGAGGACAGCCACCCCTTTGAAATGTCACCCCCCCCCCCTTTAAAAAAGGTTGTGGGGTGAATTAGAGTGAAAACACAGATAGCTGATGTGGCAGATAATGGTACAGCCTGGCTCACATGTCACTAATCTCTTCACATCCCTCAAATCTACGTGTTTCTACCTTRAACATAGTGGCCATTGCCAGCATCTAAGTTTTGTATCGAGCTTAAGTAGTTTGGCCTCTAATTGCCTTTTTCACCATTGCAGAAAATGTATSCTTGATAGGAGGGAGGCTCCTGAAAATCTTCAGCCTCAGGAGTCTTTGGAAAATTTTTGTGATCAAACCAATATTGTTCTGGAAGCTGTAAGGCTAGAATTCAAATTGCCCTATCTTGAGCTGTTTAGGAATGTCCTTTTTAACCTTACTATTCAACAGGTCCATAGGGGTTTGTAAGGCTTTGGTCTCTTGAATATGGAGTTGATATAACTATATACAGTTGGTATAACTTACAGAAGGTTTTAACCACCTAGCTGGCAAAGGGTCTCATGTTCTTTSTTTTGCCTTGTGTTTCTCAGGAAGCGGACAGGCCAGAAATCCTGCAGTTTGCAAAGTCYCCTGTGAGGGATGGAAGGGATTTTAAGCAGTACTGAGGTCTTTAAGGCAAGATCCAAGCAGCAGTGTAGCCACATACAGCAGAAGGAAGCAGGCTTCAGCTATCTCAAGGTACTAGTATCAGCTCCCTCGTTCCTAGTGATCTGTATGTGTTTGACTCCGTAAGTACCTGTTGGATAAAGAAAAAATGCCACGCCTGAGGATTAAGGAGGCCCAGTTTTGTGTGGATTTGTGCCACACAGCATAGACTGCAACTTGTAATTGATACAGCAGTACAGGCTCTGACACAATAAGGTGCAGCCTTGGCTGTGGGTTCTCCTGTGTCCTATGTATCAGTTACTTTTTGTGGACACAGGAATATAACCTGTCTTCAGTCTGACCAGCTGGGTTAATGAGATTAGTAGAAATCTTTTTATCTTGAAGAACTTTACTTCCTGTTAGAAAAATGTTTGAAAGCAGTAGATGAGTCCGTAGTTCCGAGGGATGCCCTGCCTGACCCATAAATGCCATGATGCTGCAAGCTTCACTTCCTCTGGAAAACCACTCAAAGCCAAATAAGTTCTCAGATGGGAGCCAAGTGTGATAGCTGAGTGCCTCGATGGACATCTACCTGTCTCTTCCTTTCCTCCCACCCCTTTTTTCATGTCCTGGTCACCGCCTGCCTTCTTGCACAACTAGTTTCAGTGAGGGGAGACTGGGGAGAAATGCTTTAGCTCAGGGTGATTTATACACTTGCTGGTATAGCCCTTCTGGGAGAGATGGGAGGAGGATGTATGTGGCATCTCTGAGCGCTCAAGGCAAAAAACTAGAGTTTACCACTTCACGAATGAGTGCTGGGCCCGTTCACTTGTTAGTCGTGGTGATAGGCTGTCCTGGCTGGATTTTGGTGTTTAATAAAGACCAGTAACAAACTTGGTTTGCCTTGGTGATTTAGGAAACTATAGGGCTGATGCCTTGCTAGTCTTTCCTGGACCATCTTTTCTCAGCAAGCAGCTCCAGAGCATGTTCACATCACATTTCTGCTGCAGTCTTCATTTCTGTGTTCGGGGCTGTTTTCTATTGCAAGCTCCTCAGCCCTCCTTCCAGTCAACATKTCAGTGAGACAGCCTTGTTAAATGAGGGTAGAAGGGAAATTATGGATATTCCTGGGCTTTCCTCAAGCCAGCCTTAATGACCCCAGCCCTGTGGTTGTTCAACTAGCTCTCTATGAAGACTCATCAGCCTTGTTTTCCCTCGKCCTGCTGATTGGATACGACGGGCTGAACCACCGCAGGGTGAGAGGAATGGAGGCTTGAGCGGAGTCATCCTAAGCCTGGCTCTAGGCCAAGGCACAACACAGGTCACACCCGAGCCTGCGCCGTAGGAGACTGCAGGAGATCCAGGGGTATTTTGAATAGTCCCCGGATGACAGATTAGTTGCTGAAGCCTAATGGTGAGGGTAGCACCTTGCTTTTGTCACCACCGCTTTGTAGGCCCTGCTGCTCCTCGTGGATGTGGCCCTGCTCTTCTCATATCTAATATGTTGCCATCTGGATTTTTTTTTTTATTATTTCCCTGAAATGAACATAATAAAAAAGGCAGAAATGTGACCTCAGGAGTCAAGATACAGAGTCCAATGATTGTTCACTGTCTCCATCTTTCTATTAGATTTTCCAAGGCTGTTTGTTTTCCCCTCAATCTGTTGGATAAAATCTATACAAATGCAATACAAGCGGAGTCAGTAAATAATAATGAAAAGGTAAATTCATTTTAGAGAAGCCAGTGCATGTAAGACATCATCTGGAATGACAGTGATTTTCTTGCACRGATCATGAAGCTATTACAGTCTCTCAAAATTAATATCAGGCTTTTGGGCTCTCCGCCTGTGTGTGTGACCTCTTCTTACCCTTTTCCTATTAAGAAAAATGGGATTCTCATTTTGAAATGCAAGATGGACAGTGGGTGTATGGACCCGGGGATGGGGTCCTTATGACAGATAGCCATCCCAGGCGGGTGACTTGGGCTTCACTCGACTCTGCCCAGTTTAAAAACGGGATGGAGCTGAGGTCTGGGATTCTGGGCTGAATCATGAGCCTACAGCCTGTCTCGRTATTTAAGATCTCCAGGAGGTTCTCTCTCAAAAACCATCACACAGAAATGAAGGGGGAGCTTGCCTGGGATTTGTGAGGCATTGACCTTAATCCAGACACGAGCTGCATACCTTACAGAAAGCAGACACCCTCCTTCAGCCCAAGCAATGCCGCGTGTCAGCTGGTGATCGCAGGGAAGATCTTCACTTACATCCCTGTGCAAAGAAGTAGCTTGGGATAGCCTGTGAGCCCCTCTTTACACCACCAGAGAATCCCCCTTTCCCTGAGGATGAGCTGCGGCTGAGGGACGAGGGGGGATTCTGGCCTTGTGCAAATCGGCTACAGCCGGTAGCCCTCTGTCCTGTCAGGACTCTCTGCCTCAGAAGGGAGGAAACTATGAGAAGGGAGTAAACCACGAGTCACGTATACATAGCAGCATATGCGTATGTGTGTGTTTTGCTCCTCTGAATTTTGTCCTTTTCCGTGTATTTTCACTGTGCCTTTTGAAATGCGCTCTGGCTGTGCAGTTTGCTTGACGTTTCCCCGAAACAAGGCACAGTTTTTGTTCTTTTGCTTTGATCTGACACAAGCAAGACGCTTGTCTCCTACAGTTAGTTTCATTCGCTATAGAAGACCGATGAGATCAGCCCCGCGCTCCCCTCGCTTCCTCCTTGGCTAATGGATTAGTCTGGATGCCTGACAGCRTTGCCCGCAGCGAGCGTGGTGGTTTATAAAGCCATGTGGGATAGCTCTATCGGACAACAGCCCTCGCCCAGCATACAGTCACTTTCTTCCTTACGCTTCRTCTTGTGCAAGGATTCCTCTTAATTTCGCTGCCGAGGAGGTCAGCTCCTTTCCAACATCCGCAATCAGTCTCGGCCTCGTGCCCAGGACTCCTAATGCTGCGTTCGTGCTGAAGAGATGGGAAGGGAATTTGGCAGCGAGGCCTCCTGCGG